CGGATTGAGAAAACACTCTGTAGTGCCGTGCAGCATTGAACGTAGCACCGAGGTTCGCAGTATCCATTAATAAGAGAGGAGAATAACTCCAAGTTCAAAGGGCTTCAACAACTATGGACCCGCAATAATTGGTTGGAAACGCTACTTGATGTATCGAATGACGAGCCTCAATCATAGGGATCACAGACAACCGACCCCGGAAAGAAATAGTAGAACGACTGATATCATGGAGAAACATTGCACTACACCTTTCTCGCAGACTATCCGGTTCATATCAAGCTGCAAAATCCTATGCGCAAAAAGTATTGGCTAACGAGTAACAGTGATTTGTTACCGATGTATACATACACACGCACACACACCATACCTACTGGGTAGGTAACAATGCCATTTCACTATCCAAGGCGTCAGTGTCCGCACATTGCCAAAATAGATACCGATGAAACCAAACCGCCGTAAAATGATCCGATCTATCCCGTAAAAGAATGGTTACGTTTGTGTGTACACGACAGGTATCTTATTTATAAGTAAATAGAGATAATGCATATCGGTAAGGAGTGATAGATGTATACAGGGAGTGAAGCAGCAAAACGCTGAATCGGTTGAGATAAAAACGGGGATGGAGAAATACAGCACACAGACATATAAACAGAAAGATGTGAATATTTGAGTGAATAGGCTGATTTGCGGCGCGTCCAAAGTTTCGAAGAGGAATGTGATATACTTCAAGTTAATGGAAGCACGCATACAATCAGAGAGGAGAACAAGATCGTGCCGAATATAAGGGACAGAAGTAAACGGAAACATTAATACAAAACCGGGTCATGAAAATGAATGGGAGAGAGAACAGAATCTGATTAAATAAGATATTCGTTAGGGGTAAAAAAGAGACTGAGGACAAAAATTGAGTACATGTGATTACTAAGACGGAAGAGGGAGTAACCGGTAGAGACGAAGAATAAGGAACGCAAAAAACAGCTGCTTTAATAAGGGCGAGTGGAAATATCATCAGATAAACACATGTCTCTGTGTGCACGGGGACGAACAGTGAGAGAAACGAAAATAATGGATGTGCAAACAAAGAATGTTTCACGAGTAAGGAAATGCATAAATCTGGTTTTTGGGCCGGAGGGGGTTCAGTTCAAATAGCGCCGGCACATGTAACTGCCACAATTGCACAATAATTTATCCGACTCCTTGGGGAATCGGTAATCATACGTCAATTCCTCACCCGGATAGATTCTGAAAGGCAAAGGAAATAAATGTTCAAAGCATCTACTGAAAGAAAGAAATTAGCGAGTGCGAATAACCGGGTTTTCGCAAGCAATGGGAAATGTGTGTAGTGAAGTGTAAGATTTATCTTAAAAGGATTCAATGGTACGAGGTATATGCACCATGGAAAAAATGCTGTCAAAGACAGTATGCCGGGCTTCAGAAATAGCATACGAACCGGAGTAGAAGTTAATTAGTTTGCTGGAATTATTTTTACGAGAAACTCGGTTTAGTCTGAGATCTGAATGAATTAATGGGACGATAACGGTTGAGCGAGTCAATTATCTATTGTTCCTGGATGGCACACGAACACTGGTGCCTGCAGGGTTAACTGACAGACTTCACAATAGCAAATCCATCATGTAGATTTCGCAGGTTAATGGTGTATCTCACGTTATCTACTGTGGTATAGTACAGTACGTTTCACAATACAAATGGTGGCACGTTTCTCTGACGGACATCCTATCGGTAAACCATCATCTTCATCATTGTACAACGTAATACAGTGAAACGAACTTCGCTGCCAGAATTGTAATGCATACAAGTGACAATAGGGATTGGGCTGACATTTAGGGAAAAGAAAGCAAACCCCTTTGGTCAACACGCAGAGTACATAGTTCAACTCTACATACGTTTTCAAGGATCCTGGTCTGATGAGAAACAACAACAAGAACGCCACTGCGGTCGGTATGCCGCCATATCCTTGAGTGTCTCCAACCATCCAGTTAAAGAATCCTTTTGACCTCAACCCGGAAGGTGACAGACATCTACTCTACCCAATAGCTCTGTGCATTTCTCCATGTCTCGTCTCTACGTCATCTGCCGGCCTCCGCGTGGCTTTCTCCAGTTCGCAGCGGCCACTGAAAGGCGCGGTGCGGTAGGTGACCGTTAGACACACATCAAACGTATCCTGACCAACGGAACATATTGAGCTGAATTCGATGAGGTAGCAAGATCGTTTTCGAATCCTAAACACCCAACGACCTACTCCTATGTTAATAATTCGCTCACTCCACCCCGCCTTGGCCAGACTAGGTAAGCATCAAGTGTCGGAAATCAATACGCTCGACATAGACCCTTACGCTGTCAGAACTATGTCAGTAGAATGACCTCAGCATGTTAACATAATTTCCTTTGCGAAGGAGCGAACCCATAACGGATTCGCGGTCAACTGAGCTGAAGGCTCGTTTTTAGTCAAGGAACACGACAACTGTTGGTCGACGGTGCGTATAGCGTAGATCGAGGAGTTGACGCAGCGCGAAGATTTGGTCGATGCAACCGCGACTTGGTCAAAATCCTGCTTGTTGTTCGCGGGTACTTGTCTTCCTGAAGGATGTCTTAAATCGAAGTACGGAAGCTAGTATTTTGGTGATGGTTGAGATAATGATGGTTTACGTAGTGGTTGCGAGAGCCCTTCTTGAAAATTGGAGCAATCAGCGATTCGCTCCAGGATGACGGATTCTCTCTTGTGACCTGGCACGCACTAAATCACCCTTCAACTCTTCTTTCAACTTTCCTGTCTTTCTCCCATTGTTTCATCCAAATGCGCAGCCAAAAGACAGAACCGAAAGTGCATGATTAATGGTTGTACAAACCGAAAGATGATGAACTGACGTCAAGAAACGTGGAAAATGAATTCAGAAAAGGCTATCAAAGACTCACCTCCGCTGAGCCAGTATAACGATATGCTTTTTATCGTCTACGGACACGACTTTGGCATAGCAGTTGGGCTGAACCAGGAAGAAAAATAAATTGAATCAGCAGTTCAGGCTTATAATGTGAGCAACATGAACCCCAAACTGGACAGCACTATGACTATTCATTTCAAGTGAAAAGATCACCAAAATGAACCCCTAACATCCATCGAACACAGAAAACATATCATTGATAATAAAGCAACACTTTTGAATTTCAAGCAACATTTCGTGAGTAATGTAAAGTATTCGTTGGGGGAAAAAACATTCTATAAACCATTCTTCTGCTCTGTATTGCTGGTTGATTGTACTCCTAAACTAGAATTAGATAAAACACACCTCACAGGAGTGGTTGATGAATCGCGCCGCATTCCCAGCATAAGTCGCATCAATTACCCAGTCCGGATCGATTCGAAACATGTAACAGTCTACGCCGGCCGCTCGATAGCGAACTTCGCGAGTTTCGCAAACCAGATTACGGATTCGCTCTCCCAAATATTCGATGACCATCTCATCCTCCTGGAATTCACGCAATGCGAACAGGCCACGGCCATGGATGCGTGATGGGTGTACCGTGACCCGAAGCAGACGCGCCATCGAGCCGGACAGTAAACGTCTAAACTGTGTGGATACCTGTTAGGTAGAAAAGAATTTACAACTTGTGGATTTTCTAAGTGATGCTGCAGATTATCAGTCAATGAAATTGCACTTTGAGGATTCACTAGCCGGTTCCAACATTATGATGACGACACGATCAGTTGTGTCATTGTAGCGTAATATAAATCATGTAACATTTCAAATCAAGAGTAACTTCGCTCATTCACAAGCCAACACGAAGAAATAACAAGGCTTACAACCACAAAACATGGGCCAGGTCTGAACGTTGGAAGACAAAGTCGTCATCTATCCAGAACATGGTGCAGCTAGTGCCAAATAGATCCTATTTCAATCTGTAACGTCACTCAGTTATCACCCCGGGATGTGTGTTCAAATCCCACCACCATCACCTTTCCCCATTGTGTCAAGTGACGGCCCTCTGATTGGTCGCTTCCCCTTTCCTGAAAATTGGAATCTTTGCATATCTAATAAAAGGAAGTAAAATGAAACGAAAAGAAGAAAGTACTAACCTTCTGATCAGAGTATGCAGAAAAATGGAAACCAGTGTGGATTATGCATTTTGTTTAGCGCCGAATAGTGGGCATGTACCCTGCTAAGTGATGTGCGACAACCTTAACTGCATGCCTTGTGATAACTGGGTGAAACAGGTGAACAGACGCACTGCTATCAGTCATATCAATCATTATCCCCAACAGTTGGTTGAATGGATGGCACCAAAAAAAATCACACGAGCCTAATGACTGAATCCACTTGGCTCGTCGTGATGGGATCAAATTATCCCATAACAGTCCAGTTTCGTCACATACAAAGGAAACGTCTCGGAGTTTTGAAGAACATGTTGCGAAAAGAGTGGATAAAGAACAACACTGAGTGGTTCTCTAATGGTTATCACACAAGCGTTGGCAATAGAGAAAGAGAGACAGAAGGGAAGACCACTTACTGTTCTCTCATTATCATTATCCTCTCCATCTAAACTATCATCACCGGGGTCACCCGATTGCCTCTCCTCATCATCATCTGTGGAACAGCTGGGTGAATCTCCCCATGGATCCGAATCTGCCGTAGCACCATCCGCTGTACGGCGAACAATTGCCCGTGAGGAGCCTGACTCCGCTGAACCAGTGGAATCAATCGGCAATCCTGTAGCCTGAACTACAGCGCGAGCGATACACGCCTCTCGGACGCGTAAGGGCAGCTTGAGTTGCGAAGCTACGAGGCTAGCGGCCTGCCTTGCCGCCTCAGCACAAACGATCTGTTCGTTTGGTGATAACATGGTGGTCGGTTCGCCCGGACTTAGGAGTAGAGTGGAGCAGCCCAAGATCGCAGCGGGTGTGCGAGTGATGAAAGCACTCGGACTCTCTGAATGAGAAGCCATGGTTGGAGGTGGTATGAACATGGACCGTGGGGCAGGATTGGCAGCACATTTTAAGAAATCCAAAGGATCACGTGCGTGGTGCGCCGGAGCTCGAGGCTTAGTCCACATAAGTGCCCGAGCACAACCTTCGGACAATGGGACAGGTGGAGTGAACTGAAAGTAAATTTGAAAAAGAGATGGTTACGGGAGTCGCGATGCTACAGCTAAAAATATGCTCGCTCACCATTAAAGAAGTTAAATCATACATTACGGTATTCAATTCGTCGGTGGCTGGATTATCTAAAATATCGAATTGCAGTTTTCCAGTTTACAACCGTTTGAACTGAACCAAAATCACCTCTGAACCACAAGAAATATTTGCTTTGATGGTATTTAAACGATGGGCACAGAGCTCATCAACTAGAACATATTCGAATCCGACTTTTTGGGTATCTTCGATCAAGGACTGCGGATCCTACACAGAAGCTTACGCGGAAAATGAACACGGTACAGATTACAATTTTATCCGCGCACCATCTGGCTACTTGAGACCTAATTTGTTGTTCCCCAAAAACGCAATATAACTCAAATGTAGACCAAGAAAAAAGTGAAGTATTCCTAGTTGTAACCACATAGTCGGTTGGTTATCCTGGCACTAGAGAACTAAAGAATTAGCTGAACATCAGTGGCACATGCAGGACTGCATCAAGGACACTCGGGGGTGAACCACAGTTGAAATAAATTAGGTTGTCCGGTAGAACGTTGCAGTTGCCTACCAAAGCAAATGGGTGCGTATAAAGGGAGAGAATAATAATAAAAGCTTTCGGACCAAAGAAACCCGATCGGCTAAAAATGACCGCAACTAACACTCTTCCGAAATCGCGGAGAAAATATTCGCTGCACGAACACAAAAGAAAACGAGGAAGTCTTTCGTTGAGTCGAAGCCCTATCTGGTGGACACAAGCTTCATGGTGCAAGCGAGCAATGTATTCCCAAAGGGGAAGACAAGATCGGTGGATCGAACATTTAAACATGCTATTAAACCGACCTAAATCACGCATAATAACAGCAATTGCACGAGGTGAATTGTGAGGTACATAATATATTATGCCTTAAGATGGCAATCACCAAATATGAGAAGACGAAAGTGTACAAAACGGGTCTCTCTACTCTCTATACATCCCTCCAATCGATCTTAGGCATCGAAGTGATGATGATGGTGAAAGTTTACGGAAGTTCAAGAAATTGGAACGAGGGAGTGCAACGGCACAGCAGTGAAGGAACAAAAACAAAATCTTTTGGTTACATTTTTATATAAGAATGTGGAAAAGCAGCATAAGACTGAACAACTCCGCCCGTGAACCCGACTGTGAAACCACAACAATGGACTCCCAAAAATCTGGAATGGGAAAAATTACGCAAGGACGCAAACCAATATGTACCAGGGCGGTTAGGAAAGTATCAACTACAAAAATTGCCAAAATTGTTTTCGTCCATCAGTACAAATGTTAGCCAAGACTATTTGGTAGAGAACATCGGATTAAATTTGCTATACTCACTTTCTGTCGTAGACGTTCCACTTTACGTCGGTGATATTCGAAACGATAGCGGTAGCAATGAAAAGCACCGCGCATTTGCTCAATCAAGAACACAACGTGGCGATGATTGAGGCCAAACTGAGTCCAACCGTCAGCATCTGGAAACAGAATGGATAAAAGGTGACACCTAGTGCAAACTGATGATGGAATATGAACACCGGATAGAAAGCAATTGAGTAGGATTGAAAATTGAACGGAGTTCAATAACACAATACGTTGATCACGATAATGCTGCACTGCGTTTTACGAGGATAGAGACAGACCACTTCACTGTCACTCTACTTCAAACTGTATAGTGTAAATTCTGTGGTTCACCAATTCAGGTCTCAAAGCCAACACTGCCAGTTTTATTCACATACATCCAACAAGAGAATAGGATATAATGCAAAGCTGTCCAGTGGAATCAATAGTAATGGTTCCGAAACAAGACGTTCGAATTCAAAGAGATCAACAGCAAATAAACAGGATTTTCAAACAGAAATCAACATCGAAATATACAATGAGAACAATGCCGAAGCCGACGAATTTCACGAAGATAAGGCACACTAATTTCGTCATTTGACGTATATTAACTTTTTGATCAGCTCGTTAAGAGGCAGTGAAATACCGGTTGAACGACAGACACCGCATATTGTGAAACGTCAATAACTCACATGAAAAAATCAACGGCGACAGACCATGTCTTTCGCGCAAAGCGGCAACTCGACCTAGTACAGTTTGCCACGCTACTGCTGGGTTAGCAGCCGCACGAACTACCCCGTCAATGGCGAAGCGCAGACGGTAGGCACGTGTCTAATAAAGATAGTTAAGCATAAAAAGAAAGCACGAAACGATGGGGAATCAGTAAAAGGCTGGCACACCAAATCTGGGAGATATCGACTACGGATTAGACGGATAGTAATCCCTTAAGCGACAAACACCTTATCTGGAGATGCTTCGATCTACAGAAATCTAACGAAGATTCAAACAGTATAGCACTTATAAATGAAAGTACGGTAACCAAATATCATCACTAAAATGGGGCGGTGAAGGTTGCCGGCGAAATTCAAACAAAACTATTATCATAGAAGTGAACAATATTCGGAGTAGAAGGGTGCTGATCGCGCCGGAGAGGACGACCATCTGTTGAACCGTGTCATCATCACCACAATAGTGCAGCGAAATATAGTGAAGGAAACATCACTAATTTCTGTTAAATTCGCAATGCACACGAATTTAGTGATAATATGACAGGTGGACAGGGATTGCACTCGTTTTGAGGGAGGGAGAGGAAGGTGAACCTCCCTAAGATCGGTACACAGATCAAACACCCCAAATATACACGCACACATACGCCCACCATGCAAGCATTACGGTACGATCAGAAATAACAACAAGAAGGCCGCTGCTGTCGGTTTTATGCCGTATGTTTTATTACATCCAACAAACCAGTTACTATTATTTTTTGAACCCGACCTCGAACACAAGAAACATCTACTCTGCACATCAGCGCTTCGAATTGCACCGACCTCTGCAAGTCATCTATTGATGTTCATGGGGTTTCCCCCAGCACGCAGCTGCGACAGCGAAAAAAGCGCGGTGCGGGAGACGAAACCTAGCCATACGCACGTGCGCTAGCCAGTGAAGCCCACTTATCGGTATTCTATAGGATAACAGGTTTATTCCAGATAAACTACCATGAACGACAACTTACCTACAGATTACTAGCTCGTTGGCATCATCTCACATTGGTCAAACTACGTAAACACCCACAGTCGAAAACTTCTAAACGAAAGTTTTCAAGTCAAGTCAAGTCATCTTATACTCGCAAACCACAAAGCAGAACTGAACGGTAGAAAAATATACACGACTTTCAACTGCAGTGAAATGTCACGTCCACGCCGAACGTGCTCAAGTCCTGCGCACGTTGCTCGAACGTGGGAAATGCAGGTGGTCATTTCCTTTGATGCACTACCGTCATTGATCACACAACTACCTAACTAATTTCTGGCCATTTAGATCCAATGCGGAAATAGAGGACACCCGGTCTTGCAGCACCTTTTTGTGCCTTGGAAATACAAAGCACAGCACTTGTAAATCTACCAAGTGCACTTTGCGCATCATTCAAACAGATAAACGATGTAGTCTGCGTAGTCTAAACCGCACAGCTTTTCTCTAGTTGTTCATTCAATACCTACGTTTTGGAGACTACTCAGTGTGCTATCAAGCATTTCATCCACGACGCCATTGAACAGAAATGGTGAAATAAGGCACCCTTGATGAATGCCGCTGCTGAACATGACCAACTTAGTTCGTTGTGAATCCTCACTTATTCAATTAACGTACTTCTGCGGCATTCCTCTTCAAAAAAGGTAACCAATTAGAGCTTTGCGGGCAACTGATTCAAAAGCTTCTTTTCAGATCAAGGAACGCAGCGATCGTTGAATGAATTTAGATGTGACGCAAGTGAAGGAAATGAGGCAACGAAAATATGATCGACACAACTACGACCAGTTCGGAATACAGCCTGCTGTCTAGGGATGTTGATTTCTCAGACGTCGAAGTAAGACCGATGTTAACACTTCGGTAACGTTTGTGATCAAACTTACGGCGCATTGGTTTGCGCAATCTTGAAAGTGGGGACGTTTAGTGATTCGACCCAAGATGAAGGAATGCGCTTTTGCAAACAAACGTTGTGCAGTAAATTACTAATAGCGCCCCCGCCCCATCCACATCTTGAAAGGGAGGAAGCTCGCCGGTCTTCCTGTTCTTCTATTTTTTTCAGGGCTTGGATGCAAGATCATATTTCTGCTTCAGTATGAGGTTCAAATGACACTGCTCATATCTACAACAGACGATATAGTTTGGTTAGCGCCTGGCCATCTGAACTGTTTGTTGAAGTATTCCCTGATGCAGCTGCTACTTCTCCTGCAATGGTTACTGTTGTCCACCATTTTTCCCGGTCACTCTCGAGGCATTTTGTTAGCTTACTTCGCAGACGCCACCTACCCCTGTTTTGATCCTGGGATTTGTCGCTTCTTCTCCATCAGTGATACTGACTCATCAAGTATACAACGTCTCGATCGGGCTTTAAGGTCAAATCAACGACGACCGAGATTATTTTTAGTATGTGTATCCAATTCGATAAGACGAGTACTATTGGGGTGTCCAGCTACTAAGCGGGAGATCGGTTAGTGTTCTCGTTCTGACAAGAACCAGACCGCAAGGCAGCGGGTAAGGTGGAATGAACGCCCATTTACTTGAATCAACTACTCTATTTTTTCCGAATTTAAACGTCAATTCCAGTGCACGATATTTTCCGGGGCAGGAAGCGGTTGAAAACAGATCAATGGTGGCTAAAACACGACCTGGCATGAGGGCATGAAAACCCTAACCAGGAGACCGGTTACGATTGTAAAAATTGAAAATGGCAAAAGCTATCCTGTGCAGGCAGTTGGGTCAGAGGGGTACACAAGTCAAAATCCCGTGTAATGGCGCAGTCTCGCCGTGATGGTTGAACCGTGTCGTCCCATGAAAGCTCATTTGTGATTGAGATATGTTCCGGTGTACGGTATTCTCTGGAATTCCACAAAGGATCTGAGTTCACATCATTTACCAGGGATTTTTTACTGAAGTACACCTCCACAGAGGAACGCCGGAAAATTATTTTAGATTATTTGAATCGGTGGTAGGTAAGTAACACATTGAATGGTCATTCCTGATTTATTGTGAAAAAAACTCGGAACCCATGTACGGTAATAGCCTTCAACTAAACATTACAAATTCTCATGCGATTCGAAATGTGGATTATGAGCTGAAAAACCAGAAGGCATAGATTTTGTTTGGTTCAAGTATTCGCGAGCGTAAAAGTGATGATGAATGAATATCTTCACAGGGGAACTGATAAAGGACCACTGAAATTGTTATTGTAAGTTGTTGTGTGTTGACTCCCATACTCGTCCTGAAATGGATTCTAGATGACTGGGTCATTTTGTCACTGTGAACACCAGGTGAACAAATGCGATTAGTTATACTATCAGTTTTATATATAATGTTACATCTTTCTTATCAATTATGCTATCGTGAGCACTATTTCATTGCACGAAAAACGTATTAGATCAGCGAAGCCCAAAAGCATTCAAACTTACATGCTTTTCCACTTCGGACTGATAGAGACGAGCCTGATTTGCCTGTTTCGCTTTAGAAACCAAATGCGCAAGTTCCTGTTGTTTACTCCGTTCCTCAATCCATCTACGATGTATGGGTTTGGTACGTGACGACACAGTGGGCGATCGAATAAATTTCGGAATTTGTTTTGGCACGGAGCGCGAGGGCTTAGTCCGTTTTTGAACAGGATGGGTCGAAGATGATGAAGTAGACCGCCGATGTTTACGATGTGGGAGGCGGCGATGGTGATGACTGGACGTGGATATTGATTTTGCAGAGATGGAGGAATCGTTTGAAGTGATAGAAGGAGTGCGTCGTAGCAAGTAGCGCACTGACGACCGGGAACGTTTACGAGCCGGATGATCCATTGAACCGGCAGGGTTATAGTCCTCGTCAATATCAAATGTACCGTCTAATTGAGGGAGCAAATGGGTCACAGCGGGAGCAGGTTCCGCACGGATTCTCTGAGGTCCAGTAGGGTCACTTGAAGGCTTCAAGGTGAGAAATCGATCGGGTCATTATGAGATACCATATTATGCAAACAGCTTACGGACTCTGCCATGCTTCAAATTTATAAAATTGACACGGAAGCCAAAACGATGACTGGCAAANCACGGAAGCCAAAACGATGACTGGCAAAACAGCGGGCGCCAAAACGAGAAAATCATAAAGCATGAAAACAAGATGATTAAATCACTCGTCACTGTTCTGAAACACACTTTATCTCAAGCTATTATATATGAATTATTAACAATAACTTCGATACTCGTGCCTGTTAACAACTCTTCATCGTTTAGTCAAGACGGCAAAGTGAACCAAAGCCGGCAGCGAGGGTTGTTGATAATTTACAACAAAACGGAGCTCCCGCATAAATCATTTAGTGTCAAACCTTCAATTGGGAAGCAAGTGAAACATGTGAATTCGAAATGAGCGAGTTCTTAAATCTCCTACATTAATACCCAATAGACTGTCGCTCGAAAACTATCCTATTCGACTGGGGATGATGCAAAAGATTGACAATGGGGGTCAAATCGGGTCAAATCAGCCGTGCAATACATTCGACAGAGTAGGTGTCGGTCACCTTTCAGGACAGGGTCCAAACGACTCCGTAACTGGTTGGTTGGAGGAGTGAAGGACATAGGAGTAAACCGACAGCATTGATGTTCTTGTTGTCACTTTGTATTAGGTGTGAGTGATTGAAATTGTCTGCATGCAGTGTCATGTGTTGACCATAGAGGTTCACCTTTTTGACCCGCGCCCAAAGCAGACCCAATACCTATCCATCTTACACATTATCACTTGCTTGGTATGCACTGTGAGCAAAGCAGCAAGTAGTGAAGTTCGCTTCGCTGTATTCTATTGTATGAATGCGCACTATCAATTGATTTTATTAATCCACAATACAACCACATACAAGTCCACTACCTATGAATTATTAGGGACTAAGATAAGTAGCAAAAAGAATAATCAATAGTAATGCGCTTGGTTTTAGATACAGTGTGAAACAGATTTCCCAATATAAACACCACATTCCGCATTTTTTCATAACTCACCAACTGACGGCAGGCATTTGACACTGGTAAAGAATGACATTTTTGTGTTGGAGGTGATATAGGGAGACTGAAACCGAGAAATAGACCAAAAACCAGTTTATATGATCAATGTATCGACAGGAGAGATACATGGGGACAGTTGAACAAAAGATATATCACCGATAAAGTAATTATGTATTAGTTAAGTACGTTTAGGTAAAGGGTGCCTATCTTTGTAAACGGTTTCAATCACTTCTCATTTGTGAGTAATGTAGGCATATCGGTGTTCCCAGGATCCTGGTATGATAGAATTCTAAAAGGATCAAGATTTACCATTTGGGATAACGTAAGTAATTACAATTTATACGTATCTATTATGGGAGTCGGAAACCAGCGATGATAAAACTAACACGGAGAATCATCACAGCGAGTTCATATCAGATTAGTTGTGCAGGTTATATATAGCATACTGTCCTTCTCCACATGACGGATCTGGACACTTGCTGGAAAGCGTTTGTTTTGCATATCCATCCAATAAATCTAAAAAGAGAATGAGCGGGAAACCCTAACTCACTTTTCAAACAGGCCATTTAGTTGAATGGCGAGCTGCAAATCTTTTGTCGGTGTAGTTAGTGCGCTAGAACGTTGTTGACAGGGCATGTGTTGGATGCGAATTACACCGGCTGTGCGTCCCGCGATTCGAATAGTGGGCTTTGCGTGGACTTTCGACAGGACAAGCGGGTTAGTTCCGGGAGGCCTCGTTAGCACAGATGTCGATGGTGTCGTCAAATGAGTTGCGGCCAAGGTGGATTGGGCAGTGGAAACCACCGTTTGATTTGGAAAAGAACAAATCACTGAAAGAGAAAGCACGAGGATTTCCGACGCAATCGTAAATTAATGTATTCACATTTCTTTATCGTATGTCTTTTCATCAGAATAAATAATGATTGCTGATGACAAGGCATTCAAGATCGACTCTCGTAGCTCGGGTGAACTGAAATTCATTTCGTCTGTTCATTGAGCTTCAAAATTTGTTTGTAAACGTTTCATTAGCAACCGATGTCACCTTNNTGTGTGATTTTAGTCGAAATTCAAGTTGCCACTCCCCCTCGTAACTAAAACGATAAGGATACCCCACAGCTGTAAACTATTATTCTGTTAAGAAACTGACGAATTATTCTCCTGATAAATTAACAAGAATAGCAACTTTAATAAAGAATTTTCACCGTACATTTCAGATAATGGCATGTGTTGCAAATATGCATTAGTGTAAGCCAAATGCAATGGTAGTGGTCGTGATTGTCTGAGCAAAGTACTATTATACGGTCTTCGCACAGAATCAAGTGGGTGTCTCACATTTCCCGGGGGCTGTGGGCATAATGGTTTCGAAATCCGGTGCGGTACCGTGGACGGCTTAGGTTCTCAATCATCGGAAGTTCTTGCACACAAAACCGAAAAAACCAAAGAGGTAATTCGCCGAAATCGCTTTCATGATCTCTTCAAAATACACACTATCCGATTCTCAGTTTGATATAAAGTGACCGGGGAAAGACTCGTTCATAAACATGTTTTTTCCTAAAAGTTGATTCGCTGTTTTTCTTAAAAAAAGCTTCCAGAAGCAAAAAGTAACAACTCTGCATATAATCCTATTTCATTCAATATGAGCGACCGATATGAGGTGTGCTGGAAGATGTGAATTAAATTCTACAACTACTCACCTGGATCGCGAGATATATGGGCCAGGTTTAAGTTGAACATGTGAGGTGCACGAAGCAGCTTGGATAACGAGGAAGCTGTGCTTACAGGTTTAGGCACAGGTGGCAAAATCAATGGGTATGCTGGGTTCGTCATACTGGAGCGGATGATGGTGGAAGCAACTGTTTGCACCGCGTGGCAATGAGCAAACTGTGTGGGTTTGGCCAAGGAGACTGAAGAGTCGCATGGTCATGGTCATGAAAAGTGAGGGATGTGTAACAGTTAGAATAACTTTCGAAAATCCGATTATTTCTTGAAAAGATAAACCCAAAGATAATACTTTGTAACTCAATTAAAACAATAAAAAACATACGGCAAGACTATTTGTCGCCAGTATTCTTCTACTTGAAGAAAACAACAGAATCATACTTGACAAGGTTTCAACTTTTCAGTTTTTGCAATCATTAACCATGCATTTTTGTGTATTGGCTCTGGTTGCAGTCTTCTGGCTGCTCATTCGGATAAAAGAACAGAATGATGAGAGCAGAGACAAAGGAAGGGTGAAGAACTCATACAGTGGTTGCAAGAATAATTAGTAAATGCACAAACGCCTCTGTTTACAAGACCGGGCCATATCACTCAGTGTCTCTAAACTCCGGTTACTATGATCTCAGGGTTGTCATCAGAGGAGATTCACGGGATCTATATATATATATATTTCACACTGGTCTGAGGACAGACTGTGGGCCAAACAAATCATGGTACAATCATCTTTATAAAAAGAAAAATGTTCCATGATTGGCTTGTGGGCTGAGTACTGCCAGGTTGCCCAGGCCAAGGCAGG